AGGGACCTTTCCTCACGCTCTCTGTAGACTTTTTTCCTGGGATGTCACGATCGCGCTAGACCTAAGATGTGTTGTGATGGTAATCTACCAATTCAAGATAAACTAGTCAAGCATGCAGTGTTCGTACAACCGGTTGCACGTGGTTGAAGCTGTCCGTAGGAATATTATGAGATCACCGTGGGCAAAGGCGGTCCACATGTGGTGGTATTCTTTACCTTTAGTTATGAAAAAGGTCTGTAATGGGACGTCTAATCGTTTTAGCGAATTAACTTACCGAGGTTTCAAAACAGAACATTGGAGAGCATTATTTTTGTCCGTCTTCAGTAATACAGAAAGTTACATTGTGAAGCTTGTGAATTGATTTCCTCACCGTTTACAGGAAATAGGCTGAGCATTCATAATTAAGAATACGTTGGCGTGGGGCCCACTGAATCCAGAATATACTGTACATGAAGCCTTTTTAATGGGGTTTTGTCGCTTCGTGAGGTGTGCAAGTATTCTCCTAATTACATGCGGCTGGCATTGCCATTCTAGAGGTTTACCTTGGCCTCCGTTCATATAGGTGGAATTAAAGAAAACGATAATGGTTCGTGATCATTAAAAGTACGCTGCACTCATTATGAACCATTTCTTAATAAAATACTTAAATAGAATATCTATTAAAACATAATGATGATGTTGGTGTTGTGGGCATGCACAAAGTTTCCACCCGGCACATAAACCGTACAACACTGCTAAGGCAGCGTGCAAATGAGGACACGATAATCACTTATATTACAGGAAATCCTGGATCTCAATTGCAACATAACGATCAGAAGATATTGCCAGATGGGGCATTGAAGAGCATGGTGTCCTTTTCTGACCCTTAATTCTTGTCACCGTAGACATCTTGTATAGTTTTGCATTTCTGGCGACTGTGGGTCACTTTCCTCCCCAAGTGGAGCCGCCTACTCCCAATTAAAGCTATGTGTCTTTACCACTGTATTTTGGTCTTACTGCTTTATTCACACGAGACCTAACAACCAAAAAATAAGATAGGAACATTATTTATCAAGCTTTTTGTCAGAGTTCTCAGTTTTAAGGAGTAAGCCTTTTGCGAGTTAACTTTGACCCAAATTTGGTACGCTGATGAGTTCTTTAAATTCACGCGAACGTAACAACCTGAATGTTCCTTACTAAAACCACCGTTGCTGTACCTAGTACCTCGCGATTCGGGGCAAGCTTTTGCTCTAACAGTTACATAAGAGACGCCTTGCAACAATGCACTGTTCTCAATGGATAAGAACGGCACGAAGGAACCAGTCCATTCCAGAGATGGTGGTCACTATGCAAAAGCTTGCCCCGAATCACGAGGTATAGCAACAGTGTCTTTAGACTGGGGAATTCAAATCGTTATGTGGATGTGCAGTCAGATAACTCAGTGCACCAGAATTTTTTTTTAAATTTAACCAGCAAATGTCTTATTGATTAGCTCTCTGTATACTCCAGTTTGGCTCTGACGAGTTTTCTTCATGTATCAATGTTATCCGCTTTCTTAAAATCAACTATCTAAGGACGGTCTCTTAAAAACCACGGTGAGGGAAAACCACGGTGGAAGGGTCTATTGAATGATAATGGTTACGTTTCCTTTTTAGCAGGAAGTAAGTATAGGAAATGGGATGACATTACCGATTGATTTGTGGTCTGCTAACAAAAAGGTTATTTAAGCATTCAGCTCAAACTTGAAACAATTTCTATATTCAGTTGAGGGACCTTGCGCCATCCATATCGATCGATCAGTTGACAGTTCCGCAAAACTTTCTTGTGTTGTGATGAAACCTTCGAAAGAATAAGAACAAATGTCACTAAAGGTAGATTAATTCGATAGGTTGCATACAACATTGAAAACATGTTTTGTAGCTAGAAACTGGGTTATCAATCACCTCCTCTCCACACGAAGCCACTTACCGCAATTAGCGTCCCCAGGCTTTAATAAGGGAATACATATCGGATCTGGAGAATGGACCCGACTAATGCCTTAGCCACAGGCGAATGGTAATACGAAGTCTTGAAAGTTGAATACGAGCTAAGTACATACCAGTTCCTTTAATAAAAGTTGCACTGGGGGAATGTTTGATGGCTAGACGTGAAACTAAAAACATCCTAAGCATCCTTGTCGCCAAGTCTACACAGGGGCTGGCCTGGAAACGGAAGTTCATTGTTGAAGGTTACTTCAATCGGCCACCAGTATATGTGAATCTTTTTAGTTAAATAGGTTAAAGACGAGTACCAGCCTTTGTCATTATAAATTGATAGTCATTAGAGGTGGCAACCACTCTTCCCTGATATACTGTAAAGTCATCTTTCAACATGAAGTTGATTCAGCAGTTTGCAGTCGCTGCATTGGTTGTGTTCAGCATTTTCACCAAGGGGATGGTTAATGCACACTCCATTATTTCGAGTGGAGCACCACCTGTCTACGAGCAGCATATAATCATAAACCCACTCGATGGTCCCTCGTGCTCCGGGAGCGGTTGTAACTGCACTGCGATCCGAGAAAGTGTTGCCGACACGACTCATCGGCTGGCTAAGCTAGAAACAACCGTCGCTAACAAGGTAGATGGCGTGTCTGCGGAGCTGAATGACGTCAAATTGCAGCTGGTCAAGATAACGGAATCAGTCATCTGGCTCACTGAGCTCCTTAAAAATGCAACAGGTAGATTATCGATTCAAGTTTTTAAATATTATTTAATATAACTTGTAGATCTTTTTGAACTTTGTCCTGAACAATAGGAACATCCGTATTTTGTCTCCAGAATGGATTTAAAAATCTGCAGAATTTCAAATGAAGGGTTTCACGATTCCAAAAGCTATAATCTAGGTATTGGATATCACTCCATATTCACACTAATAAAAAGTGTTGTAAAACGTATGCTTATGTTGAAAGTATCGGATCTGGGAAGGCCATGTTTCTTGCCTGGTGTGGTTGTTAAGGCATCCGCCTCCCGGCTGTGAGATGACCCATAATAATTCAGCTCATTGAGAGTTTAAGTCTTCCAATTTGTTAATAATGTGGACAGTTCTTGTAATGGTACGCTATTTTATAATTCAATTATACCTACGCCCTCTGCTCTTCCATATTCAGATAACCCAACTACGCATGCTCCCACCCCTCGTGCACCTCTTGTTACCCACCCTACACCTCAAGCTATCCCTACGACGCTCCCCAATGACTGCTCGCAAGCCTTGGCAAACGGTGTGACCAGCAGTGGTGTGTACACCGTTCAACCTGTGGATGATAGCGGTCCATTCGATGTGTACTGCGATATGGAGACTGACGGTGGTGGGTGGACAGTAAGTCAACAATATCTGGTGCGATGATCAGGAACTAGACATCCCTCCCTCGCTGCTCCCGTTTGACTCCCTCTTATCTATTTAGTGTTCTTTTCCCTTCTTTTTTACATGAATGAGTTTGAGTAAAATATGATGATAGGCTTTACAATACACCCTGGATCGATCAAATAAATTTTTGTTGAAGAGCAAAGTTTATATCGACATCGAGGAGCAATGTCATGGTATTATAATGTCAGCCACCACTCCTTCTACTGTAGTCAAGTTCAGCACAGCCCGGCATTTGCAGATTGAAGAATTACAACGGGATCAAACTTGTACAGTCAGATTTTGTTCGCAGAGAGAGAAGGGGAGGGGAAGAGAGAAGAGAGGCAAAATCAGATTAAAGGCTACGAAACATCAAGTGTTTGACGGACAACCAAAACCGTAGTTTGGTTGTGGTCACCGCCCACCTTTCAGATATTCCGGAGTACCGATATTTAGTCAAAAATAACAGTTTCGCGTATTTCCGTTTCGCGTGTTACATTTCATTACAAATTACTCAACTGATAAAAGGCACCAAAAGCATGGCTTCTTTGTTTGTAGGTGTTTCAAAGACGTCAAGACGGCTCTGTTGACTTCTACCGTGACTGGGTGAGCTACCGCCAGGGGTTCGGTGATCTGAACGGCGAGTTCTGGCTCGGCAATGACAACCTGCATCGACTCACCGCTCAGGGCGCGTGCCGACTGCGCGTCGATTTCGAGGACTTCGAAAACAACACTGCGTATGCCGAGTATGACATGTTTAGTGTTGCTGATGGGAGTGACAACTACCAGTTGACGGCGGAAGGCTTTTCGGGAACGGCTAGTAAATTATTACTATGATTTCTAACAAAATATGGTGCTAGGATTATAGATCGACAGTGAAAACTGTAGCAGTCAATTTACTTTGTGTAAAATGGTTTCCAAATGTGGCAGTGAACTGTGCGATCTGTACTGTTCAAGGAAATGAACTCGTTTTGTAACCTTCAGTGGGTTTGAAATGTTCAGTAAAACTAACCTTTTGTATTTTGGACATGAGTGTTAGGCCCAATGTCTTTTTTGTTTATATTTACCAACGCAGATTATCATTCTGAATTTTTTTTCCAGGTGATTCACTGTCTTATCATAGTAATTCTTCCTTTTCCACCAAAAACAACGACAATGACGAGGACAGTTTTAACTGTGGTGTGGTTTACTCCGGCGCCTGGTGGTATAGGAGCTGTCACTACTCCAATCTGAATGGCCTGTACCTTGGCGGGCAGACGGATGTCTTCGCTAGGGGTGTAGTTTGGCATCACTGGAAAGGGTATTACTACTCGCTGAAACGTACTGAGATGAAAATTAAGGGGGTAACTAATTAGCTTCAAAATTCTTGGCCATTTTTTTCACTTTTGTAATTTAGTAATAAAATGTAACATTCAAAACACTTTTTGGGGGTTGTAGGAGGTATACTAACCTCTAAAGAACATGCACCTCCCCTATTTTCTGATTGTGTTTTCATTTCTCTTCATTTTCCTCATTTGCTGTCAACGTAACATTTAAAAACTATTTCACACCAAGTGTTCACAGATGTTAGATTTCAAATTCTCAGAAAAGCTTTTGCAGCGTGTGGAAGCAAATCCTTAGTCGAGGAAAATAATCTTATCTCGAGCAAATACTGGCCTTAGCGTAGTTTTTCCTTTCTCCAGCTATGCATGAAATATCCCCGTAGAGAAATTCCACATGCAAAAACAGATACTGAGTACTGAAAGATGTAGGATCTTCCCTTTTTAATTATATATATATATTTTGCAAAATATTGTGCCTGCCTGCCCGTGCACAACTCACTGAGAAATAACTGAAGTTGTCATTTGGGGGTTTGCTATCGTGGAAAAAGACATTGAGGGAGAATAACATGTTATTATTAAAACAATTTCCAATATTCCTCAATTACTGACAAACGTACATAGCTCTTTTGGTTTGTTTGCTGTAGAGTTACTGGGGCTAAAATGTACAAGGCGCACCCGGGGTTCACACTTTTTTTCCGGGGGTACCTCAAGAAAATAAGCTGCACATGCATATAAATATGATTTATTATTCACATTTTTAAACGGGGGAGGGACACCCGGGGGCACGTGCCCCCTACGCCTCCCCCACTGTAGTTTGCTAGTTGTTGCTTTTCGTATAATGCAGCTGTTACAGACTGATTAAGAAACACGATATGAACTACTAACCTAACCACTGCAAGAGGTCTAAAGCTAGGCAATGAAGTTGTGGAATTATAGGACAAATAAAGTTAATGTTTAAAGTTTCTGATTGTTACGATAACATCATTCTTAAGCTGTGCCAATTCAAGGTTTTGAAAGAGCATAGATTAATCATACATGCATGAAACATTTATTATCTGACTTCATTGCTTTAAGCTTGTATTACAAATTTATCAAACTGTCATACTCGTTTAAAAAACTGCAACAACTGAATAAAACAGGTTGTTTGACTGAAAGTCCTATTTCTCTCACTGCACTGTCATTTAGTCTAGTTGTATATTCCTTTGGCTCGACGTCCATCTCTTTTCATAAAGATGTCTGCAACGAAGGAGCGTATAAATCATACTGGTCATGGGAATTTGACTTCACAACTACAAATACCCAAGATTGAGCGAGACGATTAGAAGACATTACTGTTTTACTATACATGACAGACAAAAAGTAATACAAACCCATTAAACAAGTATTTGTACATGTATCAACCCTCTAAACCGCACAGACACTTTGACTTCCACCGAAACTGAAACCTGACTAGATCTGCCCAAGTTACAAGGTGTGCCAGTCAGGTATTTTTTTTCTACGCGAGCGTACGTGTACTATGCGTCATGCGTATTTCTGCAGCCATGTAGATTCACAGGCATACTGAGCATGCACCAGGTATTAACCCTTTCATCCTAGGCAAACCTCCCCTTTCACGTGTTTGCGGATTGTTGAAATTTTCATCATAAGCCACCCTAGACATTATAATGCAAAGAAGGCCGTTCTCTGTATAAGATGCTTCTAGGCGGCACCTTTTACGCTTATTTTTTTTACTTATTTACGCTTATTAAATTAATTCAGTTCTTCAGTGTTCAGTTGTGTACATTCCAAGAAATAAGAACACATTCGTTTCGTTGTGTTTGGTTTTGATTTGGAGTTAAGATAAATTCACGTTTTAATCTGGTTCCATGTTTTATGAATAATTGCTGTGAGTTGCAAAAATTTTATACTCCACTGGCATTTACGGATACCACGTGTAAAATTACCTCTTTGTGAAAGCAAATTTGCATATTCATTAGATTGTTGTAAATCAAATTCCGTATGACAATACGCAAATGTTGCGTTGTACAGATCCGTAGAAATGTTAACTTGGTGTATAAGAGCAGTTTCCCTGCTTCCATCAATTCATCTTTATCTAAGTGACATAGATATTTAAAGATTGGTCCTTTTCTATTAAAATTCGGTTTATTCTGTAAGCCTAACAAATTATTTGAAGAAAAGAACTGACCAGTATTTCTTTGACCTAAGACGAGGAATGAGGTGCTAAGAGAATTGAAGTTAAGGTGAATCATTCAGCGACATTGGATATTTATATTAAAATAAATATTACGTCGGTGGAGGTTTTGTGTAACAATTTATCCGATACTCGACATTACCTTATCCGCCAGTTTACAGAAGAAATCTGAATGTATTCGATCATCTTTTAACTCAATTTACGTTATCTTTTTTTTTTGGCAATCAGCTGGAGTAAATTAAGAGAAAACGTAAAAGGTAGTGCCCACCATTGGTAGAATCCCCCAAATCGGACTACTGTATAATCCTGAAATATCTTACTTGAAAAAATTACATAACAGCCTCAATCAGTCTGTAATTTTTCTCCGCCAAGAATGCTGTAGTTTTCGATAAAACAGAAATATTGTTCTCTTTGTTAACGATGGTCGGCTGACCATTGTGTAAGAGTTCATTTCACTTCGCATATCACATTGTTTAATCAGGCGCCAGTTTTCTTGTAAGCAGTGATTCTGCGGCAAGCAGTGCCATGAAATTGGGCCCACATGTTGTGGGGGTCTTCATTATTGAACGGGTAAATCAAGAAGCAAGAAAATATATACCGAAGGAAATTCACCAATTGCATTGTAAACCGAAACTAAAGGAAACTGAGTGTAAGGTGTAATGTAGGAAATAAATTGGATCAGTGTGAAGTTAAATTTTATTTTAGGAAAGGATTTTCTTAACGTAAATACTTCCAGTGTGATATGGTGGATGGGTAGGAGCTGATACTGTAGAATTTGTTTTTGCATTTGGTCGGTGGTAGGTGAACTGGTGAGATCTACAATGAGTTCTGGATTGGTTTTTGAGGTCATGTTGGACTTCGTCTAGTCCATGGGTAATCTTATAAAGCATGGCAGTGCATGGCATGGCAAAAATTTACTGCTCTCTTACTGCTACAAATAAATGCTTTTGTTACTATAAGCGTCAACCATAAGGGAGCCGAAGGCATATCTTTGCAGTGCATTTATTCTAAGGCTGGACCTTTAGGACGTTTGAGAGTAACTCCTTGCAGTCATTTTGGCACCAATGTTGTGAAAATCGATCCGACTGCACCTAAGCAGCGCCAAACTGTCTGAGACAGGTCAACCAAATACCGATACTTTTTTCACTGTAGTGCTCGGTGCATCTAGGCTGGCACACGTACAGCATTAAGTTCAAGTGACCGTAACAACAAAGTACGTTTGATTGATTTCCCACTGCACTTTAGTAATAATGAGTGTCTTTACACGCATGTCAATTTTTTGGAACAAAAGCAAAAAAATATGTGCTACACAGAAAATTCCCAAGTCCCTTCTCACATGGTATGAAACAAAGCACCAATCGGTCATATCTCACGACACACAAACCAGCGATATCATCAGTCTTCAGATGAGTGCAGAAAAGCGCCGTAACCGTATCCTCCATTTCAACAGAAGTACAAAAGAACATATATTATTAACTTCAGTTTACCGATTCATCTCAACCATTGTCAAGTGTCAGTTGTAAACAAACAGATCCTGGACAAAAGGCCATTTTTTCCCGTGAATTATTTGTTAAAATTCGTTGTTTCTATTATAAAATTGGGTGGGAACCATGTCGACTTCCCAAGAGACTACGTATCAGTTTGATATCATTTGAAATAGGCATTTAAAGTGGTCCTATGCCAATATTGGATATGGACCAATAGTGTTCACATTAACAGGTACTTCGAGGAGAATGCAGCCATCTTAAAATTGAATATTAGGGGAAAGCTTTAGTTTTAATCGTGTTAAGACGTGCCAAATTTCAGCCTCATTCAAGTGCACTGTAAAAACCCTGGGCAATATTTCTCACCAACGTTGGATACGGGTGCATGCCTAAAAAACGCAAACAAGTGGTATGCAGATAGCATTTCTCACAATCGTTGGGTAAATTGAGATAAGTATGCCCATATTTAATGAGAGAATCAACGCATTGGGTGATCTATTTGCCGAGCAGGCGATTCATCTGGTTTAGGGCAAAAACAAAAAACAAAAAAAAAACAGCCCAGCGTTTTTACAGTTTTGCGTCACGAAAACATTGCAGTGAAATTTCTCCCGAGTTGAAATGTGTTCATGAATATACAAATTCGCAACGCGACTATCTGATCTGATGTCACCACCTTCGCTTTCGTGTGAAGTAAGAACCAGCCTTAGCGCAACTTTGGACGCGGATGGGATCGTGTTCAATATTATCGACTCCATGTATTGAATTGTCTGGGTAGGCCGGTTCAAATACGTGTGCTAACATTACGAGCGTATAAAGTACAACAAAGTATTGTTGTCTCTCCTTGGAGTACCGAGTATTTTTGCCCATTTTCTCTTTGTAGCCAGTAATTTATTTTACCACTCCCAGATAAACATGTTTTATTCTCGGCAGACCGACGGTTTGTTGTCAAACTCACGCTCAACCAGCCGTTTGTTGCCATGGTCTAGTAAACATTATTGCTTGAAGTGCATGCCCCTAGCCGCCTGCGTCTCTGCTTGCTGGCAGAAGACCAAGGAGTTTCATACGTAGCTATGGCGTTTTGTATTCAATCTTAGAAACGGTACACCAAGCATCGTCTTGTTCTGGCTTGGCTTCTTCCAATCGTATTTGGAAACTGTGAAGAAAAAACTGCATGCTCTTTTCAATTATTTTAGGCGTGTGACACACGACCAATTATTAGTAGGTAAAATTTAGGAATATTGTGATTTGTTAAGTAACCTTGATGGTCTTTGCAGGCTGAATTTGAGGCATTTTACACGTTTGTAGGGAAATTATGGTATTATTGAGAAACTGTTCTCTCACTTAAAACAAAGTCTTGCCTTTTTTCAGTGAGCATGGACCCCATACCACGCCCAGGGCTTCGGCTAATTAAATATTAAAAAGTAAATTGATACATTTTTAAAACCTAAATGGAATTTACGTTTTTATAAATTTAGGAATTGAAGCCTAAGTGGAACTCTTCATCTGCAGCTTCCCCTGTAACTCGATAGCGGCCATCATTTGCCTAACAGCAACCAATTACTCATCGCCCATGCCCACGTTCTTCCCATAATAACATCATAAATGGCACAATGGTAGAGATGGATCCCAACATGTACGCACCAGTAAAACTAACCAAACAAAGAAAGCATAAAAAATATAGGAAACATCTATAAGGAAACCAGTGGCGTAAATCTGTGATGGTACAGAGGGATTTCACATTAGCGCAGTCTGCGGATACCCACATCGACACTGAAGCTCTCTGTGTTGAACTTCCTCGCGCGCGCCCACGGAGTCCTCACAGTACATGCTGTGCCTGGTTCGTAAGTGTGACGCCACTTCAGTTTAAACCACGCCCATTGCACATGCAGATACACGACCATCGTAGCCACGTTTGTTCGCGGTAAATTGCCGTTATTTTTTCTTTTGATTTTACGTGTTGAGTCATCCTGAAAGACTTTTCTGCAAAATTTGCAGTCTGAAAAGTCTGAATTTAACACACCTTTATGTATTTTGTGTCTTGACTCCTTACTTTCAATCGTCTGATCGTATTAAAAATTGAAGCTGACACAAACAGCCTCGTTTTCAAACGCTGAAGTGCGCAGATCGACGCTAAAAGCGTCGTATTTGGATCCCTCGGGTTGGGGTGGTTGATATTGGTGAGGGTAAGGCGGACTTGAAATCATCAATACATTGCCTCCTCCCCGGTTTGTGCACATGAAGACATCATTAGAGGTGGGGTTTAGATGAACCTCCATATGTGTACAGCTGGGAATGAGTTAGTAAACTAACTGGATTATGAAACAAGTATAGGAATCATCTAAGGGAATCAGTGGCGTAAATCCGTGTTGGGATTGGCATTGGGGGGCAGAGATATCGGTGAGGGTAAGGTGGGCTTGGAATCATGCAACAGTGTCTCTGTGTCCCTCAGCAACCCCCCCCCCCATATAATTAGGTTTCGCAAGATCCATGCATTTTGATTGCCTTCATATTTTTGTCAACAAAACCTTTATTATGTAGGCATACTATAGGATGTGTGAAGTCACCAAAATAATGAAAAGCTTTTTACCAGCACAGTAATCTTATCATGTAATCCATCTGTAATTATTCGTCAATCTGAATTAGAACCACTGCAGTACTAAATCTCACACTGATTAATTATTGAGCTGCCTTTTCACCTCTTCTGTCTGTTAGTTGAATAGCATTTTTATTTTGCTTGGAACCACAAATTGGTTGAGGATGATTCTTTGCCCACCCACCCCCAACCCCAAAACAGAAGGACGTATCTCTCACCTGCGACATTAACGGCCTTGTGATAATAAAGTTTTAACATGTATTGTCTAACTGTCGACATGGAGGTTAACCGTTAAAAGACAACTGATCGAAAAACAAAAATGGAAAAATATCATAAATAAAAGTAACTCTTTCACTACTTTGATCATTTTTGATAATCAAAAATTGTGAAAACAGAGCCTCTCACCCCTGAATCAACCAAAACACTGTACCTGCATGTACGCATTTATTGACTATGACTAGGACATTGCGATCAATATTTGTTCCCATTTAGCCAATTAGATGAGCTATGAAAAGCCTTAGCCAATCAAGAGCCATCAACGGGGGAACCTGACCTATTTATGGGAGGAGTTATACATGTGCTAACGTTTCACCATAAGCTCCTCGATTGGCAACTTCCAACACCAGGTGCTGAAAAAGGAACACGTCGGGCGATTTTAACTATTCCTTTCGGAAAGGTAGTATAGAAATTATTACTACTTAAGCCTAGGTTTCATAGTTGAAGACGCGGCATTGAGCAAACGTGGATTCATCACTAAACTGAACCCTCCCCAACCAAAAAAATAATTAACCGTGATGAAACTATACGCCTGTTTCAAAGTTTTTGGGCTAACGCTCATTTTTGTACCGATAAGTTTTGCCTCTGGTTATCAGTGTAATCCATTTCCAAAAAGCTTGTACGCCGCTGAAAATCGTGCACTGCATGGATTTGTATACGCACGCAGACTGGTACGCTCCCGTGTAGTCTGCGGACGGGACTGCAGCATGGATAAGCAATGCAAGTCGTTTAACTTCAACGACTGCAACCTTACGTGCGAGTTGAACCTTGTCACAAGACAAGAGCACCCTGGAGACTTTAGTGCAAGCCAAGGGAGTGTGTACTTTGATGACGACGGGAACACGCCTCTCTACTCGCTGCCTGACACTGATGGCTGCTTGATCTCAGATGCCAGTAAGTTATGGTTGTATAGAGTTATAATTGTCACTCACACCTTACTCAGTCCATCTCCTTCATCTCATAAGTTAACCAGCTTCACAGAAGGTGATATTGCATCAGAAACATGAAAATATGTTTTAGAGTATGAAATACATGATTGAAGACTTTCAAGGTTTGAATGGATTTATTATGAACATGCCCTTAAGTCTGAAAACTTAGACGGATAGAGAGTATTTCTAAAGTTATATATTGGAAAAGAAGTGAAGGTCAGTCAGAGAAGTAAGGTTGATCTAATTAAGTGTTTGAAACTCACAGGAAGTATTCAAGAGTTTACTAAAAGCCTCTCGGAGCATAACAGCAGAATTTGAAAATATAAAAAGGCCGCAACACTGGTCTTGGTGGTTTAGAAGAATTGTATCAACTACTTGAAAGGTTGAAAGTGAATTACACTGAAAACGCAATTAAAAAAAATTCAGTGATTGGTAAATTCAAAGTTGAATCGAGAGAATTGTGAAAGTTGACCTTAATAGATGTGTCAATCAAGAGATAATTGAGATTGAATTGGTGACTCTAAGTAATGAAAAGTTTTGAAATTAAAAATTAAATCATGTATTCAGATTAAGAAGTCACAAAGAACGTTTATAAGTAAATTTGGAAAGAAATGAGGTTTGACAATTCATCTGATTAATGAAGGTATCCAAATATTGACATATTTAAGTATAGTGAACCAACCGAACTAATTTTTTTCTTGAACAACTCAACAATTTAATTTGATAATTGGAACGAAAGAAAACAAGGACTTTAGAAAGGAAAGCTAAAACCCCACTGTCTCGATAGATGTGATAGCAAACAAGTTTAAAATATCACCCTGAATTTTTAAAGGCATCTGAAAATAGAAGACTGTCATTTCTTTGAAACTAGTGTTTGTGTTTTCCCTTTGCTTGCTTTTTGGCTAAGCTCGGTATTTTATTCCATTAAAGTTTTACAAACAAACAGTAAAATATGAAACAGCTGAGAGCATTACTCATCATGCAAAGCTGGTTGTTTAGGTTAGGAATGACATGTCGTGACCCTGTGACTCATCTACCGGGACTGTTCGACTCTCTAAACAAACCACCTTCACCAGTTCACTGTTTAAGTCCATCTGGGTAAGATCAAGTCCAAGTCCTAATTCGAGTCCTAAGACATATATCATTTCATAGAGACTGGGCAAATACTTATGCTCATTCGCAAAAAAGGACCTTTTAATATGTCATGTAAAGCCAATGTAGTACCTGTAGTCGGTAGTCAACTTGGTTTATGCACGGAATTAACATCAAACGCGTTTACTGCTCAAGAAATGTACTAAGTAGAACCGTGACTTTAGTCAATCTTTGACGGAAATCATGTGGATGATTTTAATCGTTTTCTGAGAGACAAACAGTGAATCCTGGCTCAGCAACCCTGACCAGTTTGATTACTTTCCCATAGAATGCATCAATAATTGTTTCACAGAACACAAATTCATAATCTTTATATCGAACGTTGATGACTGTTGAAAAGAGAAACTCTACAGGCGCTCTTTTGCACTGTAAAATGACATTTTTTGAAGTTTAATAAGTTATTAATGATGTTGATAGTTAGTTTGCTCATTCACCCTTGTAAATTACAGTTCCCCCTCCTACACCTTCAGTTACACCTCTTACGTTGCCCAAGGACTGTTCTGAAGCCTTTGCAAACGGCGTTACTGCAGATGGTGTGTATACGGTTCAACCTGTGGATGATGAAGGTCCATTCAGTGTGTACTGTGACATGAAGACAGACGCTGGCGGATGGACGGTAGGTTATGGCTATGGTGGTGGGTTGATCAGAAATGTGACGTTTGCCCCCGACTTGCAAATATGAGAGATGCAAAGATTGACGAAATCTTGAATATTTAGTAATACGGGTAGATTTTGCAAGTTGTTAACGTGCCACTTCATCGCGACAAAACAAAATATGAAGCTCTACTACTGATCACACGATAAGCAATTTTCGTTGCATCTCTACATGGGAATGAAAGCTCAGCAGGTGGAGTGCTGAAAGAAAATAAAAAACTGTTTTCAGCCTCCAGAAGTACGAAATGCTTTGATTATTCCACCGCCTGTACAAATATACTTTGACTTAAACCACCTGTTGCCCGATGACGTGTAAACGCATACATTTATCCTATTTTGTTCCAAGGGGGACGAGTACACGGCTTTTTGTTTGTTTGCTTTTCCATTGACGTGGTTGACATATTCATTCGACGTGTTCGGTTGGGTTAAAGCCCAGAAGACGATCCTACATGCGGACGTTGCCACTTTAAAAGTGGAACCCACCCCCCAACGCCTCATAAATATGGAAGTGCCTTTCTTAAGTAACAAAAAAACGAATTAAGGAGTCAACACCACACAAAGGAATAAGCTGTAGGGGATTCAATTGTACCTCTTTTGTTTTGATAAAGCCATTTGCTAGGGAGCGGAACCACACTTACAAAAAAAGGTTACGAAATCTCAACTAGCATCTCCTTTGCATAGAAACAATTTGCAAAAACACATGGCCACAGGTGACACCTATTTACGCATTGTATGTATGACCGTTTGTGTGTTAACCGGTTGACCACCGTCTGGACACTCGCTACATTTTTTTTCCCCAGATCACTTGAAAAACGGCTGAACAGATCAACTCAGGGGAAAAAAGAATGAAAATACTTATACCTAAACTCACGACTTATGCCTCTCCGTCGGCACATTCCTTCTTAACAAGAATGTGTTCTAGAAGCAGAGGCATTTGGTATTCTGCATTCTTGCGTGGTTGAGCCTTCTTAATCAAATATGCAAATTCGTCACAGTGCCGATTTCAGTACCTATAACATCCGTCTAGTTTGTCTGCTTTTTTCATCTTTATCAATAACACCACTAGCTGTATGCCGCTGCAAAGAGGACGTTCTGACCTTTCTACAGTCATATTTCTCTTTGCCATGTGTAAGGTAGTTTTGCAGTACAGTACAGTAATTTTGATGTCGGCATCCTTTTTTTATGTGGGCACCATGTATATGAGTAAACCAGCACACCAACAAAATTAAATTAAAAATCCAACGCAGATATCTAGCAAGTTCTTGGTATTTGAGTATTTGGGTTAATCCTTGACTGACATTTGTGATCAATATTTAGAAATATGAGGGAAGAGAATGAAAAAATAATTCGTCTGTATTGGGTGTTGTTATACTCTGTCAACTGACAAAATGCTCCAGGCCATTTTATCTTTATTAGCAGGTGTTCCAGCGGCGTCAAGACGGCTCTGTTGACTTCTACCGTGACTGGGTGAGCTACCGCCAGGGGTTCGGTGATCTGAACGGCGAGTTCTGGCTCGGCAATGACAACCTGCACCGACTCACTGCTCAGGGCGTGTACCGACTGCGCGTCGATCTCGAAGACTTCGAAAACAACACTGCGTATGCCGTGTACAACACGTTTCGCGTTGCTGATGGGAGGAACAACTACCGGTTGAGGGTGGCACGTTACTCGGGAACGGCTGGTAAGTAATTGCTGTGATATCTTACCAACTATGGTGAAAATGCATGTATAAGCTTACATTGCGGGAAAAAATAATTACAATGTTCTTTGCCACGTCCTGTAGTGTCGTTCTGGAGTGTGATTTTCAAAGGAGAAAATGAACTTTGTTTTAACAACTTTAATGGATTTCGGCAAGCATCGTGTAAACAAAAATCGACTTGGTGGCGATCTTAACTTCTGTTTGTTCAGAACTGCCGACGCATGTTTTCATCCTCCTGATTTCCCGCAGGTAATTCGTTGGCCAGGCTGCAACGCGTACGCCCAGCCTTTTCCACCAAAGACCGTGACAACGACTCGGACGACACTAAAAACTGTGCCGTAACCTACTCTGGAGCCTGGTGGTACAGATCATGTCACTCCTCAAATCTGAACGGCATGTACCTACGTGGGTGGACGGGTTTGCACGCCCAAGGTATCATTTGGTTCCACTGGAAAGGGAATCGCTACTCACTGAAACGCACTGAGATGAAAATAAAATACAAGGGATAAGCAACTCTCTGGAATTGAGGCCTAGGTGATCAGTTATGATTGGCACTCATCAATTTAACAGATATTTAGGGAGTCTCCTCTAATCAAACAAAGTGATATGTCAAGCACATGTTAGGGGAGATTTTGCAGTAGAGGAAAAGTGACGCTCTCCAGTTTCCAAAAGACTCCATCGCTAACCTTCACCGTAAACGTTCGTCCTGGTGACAAGATCAAACCCGTCTTTCTCTCACCCGCGGTACTTATCTAATAGGAAGACTTGTTGTCTTGTCGAAATAAATAATATCTTTAATATTCCCCAAACTGATTTATCATGCACTTTATGCTCAGTGCCTTTCAAACGCTTTTGAAAAAATCCCCAGGATGGTAAAGAAACACAAGTGTCAACTCTTCCAGGTTGAAGGGCTCAAAACGCCAAACACCAAGGAACATGGCCAAAATAAAAAAAATATTCCACCAAGACTGCCACTAATGTCACCATTAATTCATGACAAGTCAACATAATTGTTAAAATTTCCACGCGATAATGACCTATTGGAAGTAAATGTAAATGTCCAGAATCCTCTTACGTCATCTCACACGCTTTACCAAATTTGCAATTTTTACACGTTGAAATAATTGTCATATGCGACGGTCAAGTTTCCTTTCACATCAGTTTGTACTAATTATTCACGAGTTTGAAATGTGCCTCCTCCGCCCAAAATGTTATTTATACAATTAGGCCTACCAGAATATTATAAAAGTTTTTAAGATTATTATCCAATACAAGCGTAGGTTAATCGAATGAAGGTCACTTATAGATTTCAAGGGTAAATTCGAATTTGTTATCATAATCCTTTAGGTCCGTCTCATAATTTTTAATTTACTGAAATCTATCACTTGCACAGTATTCAATTAATGCACCTTTCATTTCTTCCAAATCACTGAAATCATAGACTCTGCACAGTATCCAGTTCTATGCATCCTTCAGTTCTTTCTAATCATTGAAATCGTTCAACATTCCAAAACAACACACTTTACTTGTTAGAATAGACAAATGTCAACTTCTGTTAACAGAAAGTAACTTCTGTGAACTTCTCAAAGTTTCCTGTATTTCTTAAATTCGTAAAGTGTCCTTTTAATGTCATGTTTTCAAAGTCTGAATTACCCCCTCTGTAAAGCCTCAAAGTCTTCTTTAAGTTCTGTTCTGCTTGTATGTAACATTTTCTGTCAACCTCTTCTTTCATATTCTCAGTTCCGCTTTTCAATTCTTAATTAATTTCTATTCTTAATGTCTAAATTCGTTAGTAAACTTCTGTCAAATTCTCAAACATTGACTTAATGCATAAATGTTCATCAGATCACCATTGGAGTTTTAAATCTAGTGTATTAGTGATTCAGAGGCCTATTGTCCACTTTTACAAGGTTACAAAGTCAAAGATATCTTGGTTTGCCAATCAAGCACATGTATCTCTATTCACACAATTTCCTTGTATAAAATAAAACCAACTCAAAACCCAAATGACTATCAGTGGTTTAGGTCTCAGAAATTGGCTATATCTTCTTGTAAGGTGTTGGTTGAGATTATACACATTTACGATTAAATTCTGGAATATGTTTCTGGTCAGCGCGCGCCGATTATAAGCATGCACGTCATATTTTTTTCTATGCGAGAGCTACAATCTGGTTGTTAACAAGAGTGAACCAAATGAAAGGTTCTGCTGCAACACAGTCCTTACGCGCCTTATATAGCCTTGTGAGCAAGCCCCTACAGCGACTACGCTTGCGCAGACGCACTACACGTGGCCTTTTGCGGAGCCGAAGCGCCGCGCCCGTTTAACCGGTGACGTAAATCTGTGCGGGAAATGGGGGGGGGGCAGATGGGGAAAGGGGGATGACATGAAAAAATGAAAATCGGGGGGGAGGGGAGGGCACAGTATGACACTCTATAGAGGTCGATGTTTGTGGTATTAATGTATATCTGTAATATGCATTCGCAATGACATAGGCCTATCTACGGCTTTTCTAATTGTTCTCCATTTTGGAGTGATACTGGATGCAATTTAGTCGCTGGAAGTCTGAAAAATTCGTCACTCGTCACTTTCATTTTTTTTTTTTTTGCTTACCACAAAGAAGTGGGGGATACATACCCCACCCCTAGGGATTTACGCTCATGCGCTTAACACACGACTACATGCCTGCCCTTGTTACCGTGCAGAGCGCCAACTACGGTTCTGTGCCTTTCAGGTTCGTATGGTCATGGCGCTCATTACCAAAATGCGCGTGTTCAAGATTTGCACTTAACAGCAGAATAACAACAGGTTATGCCTGGTTTGTGCACTCTGATTGCAAAATGAGGGATCGTCTTTGTTATGGATTTCCATGAAACTAAGCATAAAAATTATTTTTTCATGCCAAACCAAAATTACATTAACCATTTCATTTTCAGTACCCTGCTTCAAAAAAGGTAATGAAAAATTGGGTTGTAAATAACCCCCAAATTATTTTATTTTTCACCTGAAAAATTGAGTGTTGTCAGATTTGATAAATACCTGTTAATAAAAAATGGGTTTTCCTGGTTATAAATACTAGATTCATTAAAAGTAGAACACTGTCTTAAAATTGATTGCACGAAAAAATTGGGAATCCGACAGAATTGTTTTTATTTATTTATTTTTTTTTAAAGTTAGTTTAAACTTGAACCAAATATCCGGGCCAAAGGGCGTGAATCTAGACATTTTGCAATTGGAAAATCCGTCATATATCTAATCTAAAAGCATTTTATGTCCTAATACAACTTAATTCTTAGAGTCACTTGGGAAAATTTTTTTCAACACGTGATCTGTGGAGTTTTGTCTACTGTTTTCCCTTTCTGAGTAAAAATTTGTTTGAAATTTGAACAGACTTTGAAATTGAAAATTATCTTGCAAACTCTGATTTCACCTGGAAAGCTGAATATAATATATTAAGGAACTTTCGATACGTCCTCTCCCTATCATTTACAGAGTAATTCCAGTGTGGAAAAACAATCGAAGTTTCCAAGAATCCTTATTAATAAACTGAACAAAATGAAATATGTTAAGTAATATTCACAACCTCTTCATTCTTGAAAATGAATCAGCAGTAAAACAATTCCATTTCGATTATCGTTATTATAACAATTAACTCTTTTTAGTAGAAGGAAACATGTCTGTCTAACCTAAAGCCATAAATGCCCCTAGTGACCTCCTGTAAACCTTGTTGACCTCTCTGAACAGGAAACAGATGAAGGCAATTATCAACTCTATTGCGAACCAAAAGGAAATACCAACCAAACTGTTTGCTGAAGGTTTTATTTTATTATTATTTTTGGACGTAAAAGGTTTAACTTTAATCTAGAGTAGACCAAGATAAGATATTGCCTTTGTTAAGGTGCTATAGTTCTGCAACAAACATTTATTATTTCCTTTAAGCGTAACCTTATTTTTGAGAGAATAGACATGAGACACCCGTGTTCTGTAGTGATTTGGAGGACTGCACCGATCCATAACAAAGAGTCACGAGGTTTCGGACGTCCTGTTTCCCGTGCCCAGAATTCAGCAAGGCTCACGGGGGTCACCAGGGAGTTTTTATATCTCTGATCTGAGGCGATATGTTCCCACTATTTATTGACGGGTATTTACAAATTGTGCCAACTGTGATCAACTGACTAGCTCTTAGCATTACACTTACCCATGCGCAGTTTTATTCCATAGAGCGTGCGATGAACTACGGTGAATAAAACCTAAACCTGAATAAATACCCATCAAGAGCCAAGTCCAAGTTCAAGTCACCTCTAACATGGCTCAGGTTCAGCAGATTGCATTTCTGGTATATCTTGTGTTGGGGCTTTGCACCTGCACCACGGTGATCAACTATACTATCCCAGGGAATGGAGCTCAACCTGTGTGTGAGCAGCATATCATTATCAACCCGCTGGATGGTCCTTCGTGCTCCGGGACTGCTTGTAACTACTCCACAATCCAAGAAATTGTCTCCGGTGAATTAGAGAATACGACTCATCGACTGGCTCAGCTGGAAACACACATTGCTAGCAAAGCCGATGTCATGACACTATCTACAGAGTTGACTGACGTCAAACTACAGCTAGAAAAGATAAAGGAATCCGTCAGTGAGCTTGCTGAACTCCTGAAAAACGCAACAGGTGGGCTGGTGTTTCAGTTACGTACTTTTACAAACAAATTTAATGAAAACGTCCAGATTCTTTTCGAGCAAAATTTGGTCCACTGAGTTAAAAAATATAGACATAAACGTAACTATTTGTGTTCTCTGTACTGAAGACACTGTTCCTATACCTCCTGATTCGCCGGAGCAAGCTGTCGCATAGCAACCACCATCCATTGAAAACAGTGTATTGTTTCAAGGCGTCTCTTATGTAACGAAGCAAACGCTTGTCCCGAATCACGAGGTATAGCAACAGTGTCTTTAGCATGTAAAATTCAATTTTTGTGTTCACGTGAATGAATGAACTCGGTTTACCTGATTTTCTTCAAATTTAACTCGCAAAAGGCACATTGCTCTCACTTCTCTTCTTACTTCATGTGAGGGGCTTTGAATTCGTGTACAAGTATAACTAAACTACGGCTGGCGGGACCATTGGACATTCCAGCCAAACAGAGTGGGCACAGTACAGGTGTACTATCACAACATAAACCCATCGGACCGTGGTGGGAGCTGTCTCAGTGCCTCCATAGTGACGCGCAACAGCTGGACGGGGCCGGCGTAGTGACAGGGAGAACCGGGGCTAACTGGCAGTACCAGAGCGGCGAGGGACACGGGAGTGTCTCGCCCGGCTCACGGTTCGGACGTAGCGGTGACGGGCCGCTATGGTGCTGCAAAACTCTTGATCTGGCACCCTGGGCTAGTTCGCACCGCACTCGGTTAAAGCTAAACTAGTTGGTTGCTCAAATGGTTATCAACGTATTTCACTATAAGAACAGGTGTTTCGGAACTACTACACCTATACCCAGCAAGAAATGAGACAGAAGGTTACCCCCTAATATTTCCAATCGATACAACTCTAAACTATTGTTATCTACCACATCACCCCTAGATGTCTGAAAAGAAGTCCTCAGATTCCAGTCCTCAGATTCCACAATGACCAACTGAAAGCGGCGGGGGGGGGTTCTCTTCGTCTCATATCTTGCTTCATATGTCTGCACCACTTTCGGACTCTCAGAATGTGTTTAACCATCGCACTACATTTGGTTTTGCTCCGCACAACAACGGTTTGGTTTCGCCGCACCTGACCGACGAGCTCGGCAAAACTGAGAAGAGAAAAACACAAAGACAAAGGAGTGAAGGAACACACGATCACGCCAGAGTACACCATGAATAAGTATATACAAAAGTAGCATCTCTGCTGCATTGCATATACATAGTGAGCTAAAAAAAGAGACCCTGGGGACGAAAGGGAACGAGAACAGTAAAACACAGGGTGCTACAACTTCATAATCGAGGTTTGTCGGCGCGCAACAATACTACTAATGACACGTAACTGTGCACTGAACAGTGGCATTTGTTTGTCCTCCAGGGCCTGGGTGTCGCAAAGTAGGTAAGGAAGAAGCCTTTGACTGGGCCAATGAAGGAAAAAAATGAAAATTAAAATGAGGAGAAAAGAAAGGAAAGGTCAAAGAAACCCAGAAAGTCACAAAAGGATGAAGACGGTAGTACTGATGAAAATACTTCCGAATTGACCCCTTCCACCCACAATGGTCAGTCAGTTTACTGCCTGTAGTGATTTGCTTCCTCCACTTCTGGAAAGATCCCGGGAACGTCCGTGTACCAGACTGAAACAGAACATTGCGCTGAATGTCATGTAGTCCGAACAGTGTGTCTGATCTTTCTGGAAGCACAGGCTGAGATATCCTATGGACGGATCGAAAATCGTTTTCGGGGGGATAAATATATTTTTGGTGGTTATGGGGGAATTACTATACTTTGGAAGTTTCTTTACTATTTAAGGCTTTTTCTTAGGGTTGATATATTGGGGCTTTTTCAAATGCTCTTGAAAGGGCAGGAAGTGACAAAATCCCCCAAATCGATCGTTCTCATTATTCCTTACACCCAAAAAGTGTTCCGGGAGGAGGAGGCACGACTTTAGCAGCCCTAGGCGGCTAAATATTGCACTTGGTGACTTTGTCGCATATAAGCCCTTATGTTTTCGAATTTGTAAATAAAAAGGCTGTGTTTATAATTTCATTTCTTTACTTTTGTGATTTTTAGTTTCCACGCCTACGCCTCCCAAGTACTGTTCCGAAGCGTTTGCAAGTGGTGTGTACACGGTTCAACCTGCGGATGATGGAGCTCCAGTCAGTGTGTACTGTGATATGGAGACAGACGGTGGAGAATGGACGGTAAGTTATGTACAATGACCAGTCAGTGCGCAGCCTGCCTGCTAATGAGCTTCATTGTCAATTCTATTTGCTCGGGAAAACGCTCTCGCGAGTATTAACTATGTGACTACAAGAGTAAAAACGAGATTATTTTTATTTCATAGAAAAATGATGTCGGGTATATACGCCTACATGTACAAGCTTTCTTCGTGCACGACAAGACAGATGGCTAGCCTGGATCAGGCAGCTGACGACTGACATTCCGTAATTTCTGTACAAAGATTACGTGTTTCCGAGGGGGTCCCATATGTTATCTCTCATAACATTTTGATTAACCATCGAGGGGAGATAATTTGCTAATCAGCCAATCACAAAGAGTCTTTGCCGAAATAAAAAAGGAGTTAGCGTTGATTTTACAACGTTTAAGCGTGCAAAAACGAAATGTTTTGAGTGCACCTGACCGTTCTGCAACAGTACGAAAATCCTAA